TACTCTCTCTCTCTCTCTCTCTCTCTATACTATATATATATATATATATATATATATATATATATATATATATATATATATATATATATATAAGGCAACGTTTAACCAACCTTTGTTGAGTTCGAATTCCCCCCTCATCATGGCACCATAGCCCCGGTTATCCTTGTTACTGTTGGCGGAATCCCAGCCTCCTGCGGCACCTGGACATGTGGAGAATGAGAAACCGGTAACTTAAAATGTCCGGGAACAGAGATATTGCTTTCCGTGTGTCTGTTTGTCCGTCAGTGTTTCGTCAGCTTTTTTCCTTTCGTGTTAAATACACTTTTCCACGTGTACTTGAAACGTTTAGTATCTATACCAATAGATTTGAACCATGATGTTAGTCTAACCTGCCACTTCAATCCTGTAGTCTCCGGTCTCAGGCACGGTGAAGAGCTGGATCCCGTCCTGTAAGGTCACCAGCTTCTCGTGGTCCTGTCCGCGGTAGTGGGCACCCAGGCTGGTGGGGCCTACACGGCCGGTCGCACCGAGGGTGGTGAACGTGGCAGTCTTGAAGCGAGGGTCTAAAATGTGAAAAAATTGCTTGTATTAATTAACATAGATGAATGCCATAAGACGCCAGGGTAATAATCAGCATATCGTGAAGTGATGTTCTTGTCTGTACAGGTAGGTCCTTGTCCTTGATATCGTAATGCGCGTGGATACTTTGTTTAAAGTTGATTTTTCTTTCTTCTAAAGGTAAAGACACTGCACTGTTTTTCTTTAGTTTTATCCAGAATGTGCTCTTTCACGGTATAGGATAGTTAACACTACATCCAGAACTTGGGCAAATCAACTATATGCGTCCTTGGATACGTGGACGCTATCTAGAACCTTGCCTGATCCTAACCCTAACCCATTCAGGCACAGAACTAGATAGACATTGTTTTGTATAAGATATAATAACATATCTTGAGGTATTGTCGGCTGGAAAGAGTAGAAATTGGCCAAAAAGAGAGATAGCATGCCGAAGGCCAGGAGTTGGTCCACTAGAGAGTACAGTCGGGCGCGACAAACTGTTCTCTCTAGCGGATCAACTCCCTCGCTATATCTCTCTATTTAGCCAATTTCTACTGTTTCCAGCCTCCTCCCGAAGCCCGGTAGAGGCTAGTTATAACGTACCCTTCAGGCTGTTCGGGGTAGTTGGCGGCTCGCGGGAAGCGTTAGCCTCCCCGCCCCCGGGTCGCTCCCAGGTCTTCCCGGGTCGCTGCCAGGTCTCCCCGGTCCCGCCCAACCTCTCCTGCAAGGAACTTAAGAAGCGGCAAAACCTCCTTCGGGACGGTCAGAATTTCCTT